GACCGAGCCACCCAGGCACCCCGTGAGGAAAGTTTTTAAGTGGCACTTAAGTGGCCACTACTAAGTGGCAGGTTGCTGGAAAAGGAACTGGTAAGACTGGAGAGACATCAACTTAATCAAGTGATCTCATTTAACAGCAGTGATGATAATGTGATGTACTGAGAAAGACACATCCCTTAAAACAATCCTGTCAAAGAATGTCTAATATGAATCTAGCCATGAGGATATAACCAGACAAACCCAAGTTGAGGAACATACTTCAAAACAACTGGTTTAGCTTCTTCAAATACCAATGTCATTTATAACAATGTCAATATCACAAAAACAGGCTAGGAAACGGTTTCTAGAGTAAAGAAGATTAAAGAACTATGACAACTAAAAGTTGTATGACAACTAAAAATATGATTCTTGACTGGATCCTGAATCGGTAGTTAAAAAAAATCTAGCTGAGGCTCCTGGGTGGCTCAGTCGGTTAAGCGGCTGCCTTCTGCTCAGGTCATGATCTGGGAACCAGCCCCACGTCAGGATCCCTGCTCAGTGAGGACTCTGCTTCTCCCTCTCCCTCTGCCCTTCCTCCTGTTTTTGCTCTCTATCTCTCAATGAATAAATAAAAATCTTTAAAAAGAATCTTGCTAAAATGACACTGTTTGGACAATTGGAGAAATTCTGTATTTTAATAATATTGGTACATCAATGCTAAATTCCCTGGGTGTGACAATGGTATTGCAGTCAAATAGAATACATTTTTAAGACTGGGTAAAATGACATGGTATCTACAACTCTGAAATGATACGGTAGAGAGAGAGAGAGAGACAGTGTGTAGAGAGAGAATGTATACATGTGTAAGAGAGATAAGGCAAACATATCAAAATGTTAACAAATGGTGACTCTAGATAGAGGATATAAAGGCATGGGTTTGGAATTTTTCAAGCTAAATAGTTGAGAACAATAGAAATGTAAAACAAGAATTCCATAAGGTTAAAAAAAGACATTAGTATAACCTATAATTGAAGACTTAAATGCATTTTCCTCCAGTGTTTTTTTAGGGTCACTATAATCTGTCAATTTTATATTTACAAGCTGTTGTTCCTACTGAGCAGGAATTGTCCGCTCTATATATAGCTTGCATTTCAGTAGACTTCTAGAAACTGCCCACCTACACAAAACTTCATATTTTCCTATAGGACTTAGACTAGTACTGATTTTAATTACAGGTGTTCAAAGCAAATATTCCAAGTGAATTTTAAAGATTGTTTGAATCTCTATTTACAGGCAGGCAGTCATTTAATTTCCTTAAGTAACGAATTAATTGGCTTAGGTTGACTTGCTATTTGAAATACAACCTGTACATTTTGCTTAACTTGCTGAGTCAATTTAATGGATGTAAACAACTACTCTGGAAAACCGAATTCTGAATAAACAGAACAAAATGATCTATTGGCAGATTTTCTTTAGACACACACATACACATGCAAACAGCACCTTTTAATTGCCACACAGTTAACTTACGCACACAATGACGAACAGAACTGCTCAAATTCTCCTATGTTCAACCTATGTTATTGATTCAAGTCATGTTCTGAAAAACTAAACTCATGTACAAGAAAACTGGGCAGATTTCAAAGTCAACAAACTTAATCTGTAGCATTCTCCTAGGAGCTAGCAAACAGGTATCCTCTTTCCAGTCCTATTACTGAACTGTTACAGGACCTATTAGCTAACTTCTCTAAATCTCAATATTTCCAGCTATAAAATGAAGGAAATTCTTACAATGATTTTAAAAAGATGATACAGGGGGCGCCTGGGTGGCTCAGTCTTTAAGCATCTGCCTTCAGCTCAGGTCATGATCTCAAGGTCCTGGGATCGCGCCCTGCATCGGGCTCCCTGCTTGGCGGGAAGCCTGCTTCTCCCTCTCGCACCCCCCCGCTTGTGTTCCCTCTCTCACTGTGTCTCTCTCTCTGTCAAATAAATAAATAAAATCTTTTAAAAAAGCGCCTGGGTGGCTCAGTTGGCTAAGCGACTGCCTTCAGCTCAGGTCATGATCCTGGAGTCCTGGGATCAAGTCCCACATCGGGCTCCCTGCTCAGCAGGGAGTCTGCTTCTCCCTCTGACCCTCCCTCCTCTCATGTGCTCTCTCTCTCTCTCTCTCATTCTCTCTCTCAAATAAATAAAATCTTAAAAATATATAAATAAATAAATAAAATAAAAATAAAAAAGGTGATACAGAAGACAATCCATTTTCCCTAACTATATATATTAAGTTCAAGAATAAGACTGAACACAGGGGTGCCTGGGTGGCTAAGTCGGTTAAGTGTCTGACTCGTGGTTTCACCTCAGGTCATGATCTCAGAGTCCTGGGATCGAGCCCCATGTTGGGCTCCTCTGAGCTCAGCACGAAGTCTGCTGCAGATTCTCTCCTTCTCCCTCTGTCACCGCACGCCCCCACCACTGCTTGCACAAGCATGTGCGCATGCATGCTCTCTCTCTCTCAAATAAATACATAGGAGCACCTGGGTGGCTCAGTCGGTTAAGCATCTGCCTTCAGCTCAGGTTATGATCCCAAGGTCCTGGGATCGAGCCCTGCATCAGGCTCCCTGCTCAGTGGGAAGCCTGCTTCTCCCTCTCACCTCTGCCTGCCACTCCCCCTGCTTGGGTTCTCTCTCTGTCAAATAAATAAATAAATAAAATTTAAAAAAATAAAATAAAATACATAAAAAAATTTTAAAAAAGAGTGAATACAAAGCTTTCCAGGTATATCAATAATCCCAAGGCATTAGACAAAGCCAAATAGCAAATACCTTATATGTACACAAATACTTAATTTTCCTACAAATATTTTGTATCCTTTTGCCCGAGGAAAATGTTTCCAAATGACCGTCAAAAAGTTCTTATTTTTTAAATTATATCACTCAGGGGCACCAGGGTGGCTCAGTCGTTAAGCATCTGCCTTCGGCTCAGGTCCTGATCCCTGGGATCGAGCCCCCCATTGGGCTACCTGCTCTGCAGGGAGTCTGCTTCTCCCTCTCCCACTCCCCCTGCTTCTGTTCCCTCTCTTGCTGTGTCTCTCTCTGTCAGATAAATAAATAAAATCTTAAAAAAAAAATAAATTATATCACTCAATCAAATAAAGCATAAATATTCCTCACCTTTAAAAAAATTTCTAGTGTATGTCTATATGTATTATTCGCTCAATAGGTATTTACTCAGTGATTGAAGGAAAAAAAGTAGTAAAAACTCAGAGAAGTTTTCCTTTCGTGCCTCCTCCTTCCAGGTCCTAGGAATGCCTGAAAAGGGTACAAAAGGGTTTGTCCTCTCAGAGAAACAGGGTTCTGCTGAAGATCCTAAGGACTACACTGCTGGGGATCACACCTCATGTTGGAGACCCATAAGGAACTACAAATTAGGCCTCCAGACCTTTCCATTCCAGGGGTCCTTCTACTCTCAAACCACATTTCTATGAAACCTCTTTGCTATAAATCGCTAGCTGCAAAAAATCTTGATTGGTTTCAGTAAGTCATTGACTCCTTGGGAGAAATGGACAGATTGCTAAAGGAGAAAAAAACTCTTTTGACTCAAACCATTTCACTTAGGAAAATCAGAAAATCTGTATGCACAGCAATTAGGAAAGTATCTAATCCAATTATATTTTTAACTAATTTGTTAAATGAATGAAGTATTGTTGTATTACTTCATTCATCAACCATTTGCTGAACACCTAATGTGTGCCAAATGCAGTGCTAAGCCCCTGCCTTCATGGGGCTTTCTCATGAGGGAGACAAGACACTAAACAGGTAAACATACATCTATTATTGTAACTTGTAATTATTCAAAGGGAAAGTAAATCATGGTGCTATAATAAAAGACAAGAGAAGGACTTATTTTGGGTTGACCGAAAAGGAAAAGCAACACTTAACCTGAGCTATCAAAAAGATAAAGAGGGGGGCGCCTGGGTGGCTCAGTTGGTTAAGCGACTGCCTTCGGCTCAGGTCATGATCCTGGAGTCCCAGGATCGAGTCCCACATCGGGCTCCCTGCTCAGCGGGGAGTCTGCTTCTCCCTCTGACCCTCTTCCCTCTTGTGCTCTGTCTCTCATTCTCTCTCTCTCTTAAAAATCTTAAAAAAAAAAAAAAAAAGATAAAGAGGGAGCAGGACTGAGAAAAAAGTATACCAGGGAGAGGGTCCTCAGGGCCTTGGAAGATTACAGAAACTACCCAACCGCCAGCGGGAAATGTGTGTGCTTGGGACGTGGGGATAGTAGCATGAGAGGGTTGGTGAGTAAGTGAGATTTGGAGTTTTTTTTTTTTTTAAGATTTATTTATTTGACAGAGAGAGACACAGCGAGAGAAGGAACACAAGCAGGGGGAGCAGCAGGCAGAGGGAGAAGCAGGCTCCCCACTGAGCAAGGAGCCAGATGCGGGGCTCAATACCAGGACCCTGGGATCATGACCTGAGCCAAAGGCAGATGCTTAACCAACTGAGCCACCCAGGCATCACAGAACCAATTAATATTGTAAGATCACTCTGGCTGCTGATTGGAAAACAGAATGGAGGGGGACAAGAGTGGAAGCCAAAGGCAACTGCTTAATCCGGACCAGAGATGACAAACTACAGAATTAGCAATGGAGATGGTAAAAAGTAACGGCACACAAAACATACTGAAGGTGAAGATGACAGAACTGGCTGATGGACTGGATTTAGGGGTGAGGAAGGAGGGCTAGATTTTTGGACCAAACAGTTGGATGGATGATGAGAGAAAAGGGCTAGAAATATACTTTTGGGAGTTATCAGCATATAGATGAGTAAAATGACCAAGGGAGAGTGTGGAGAGGAAGGATCCCAGGACTGAGCGCTAGGACACCTCAACATTTAGAAGCCAAGCAAGGGAAGAAGGGCAAACCAGGGAAGGAGACTGAGAAGTAGTCCTTGATGTAGGGGGAAACGCAGACAGCATGTCACAAAGCCAAAAGAGTTTCAAGAGTTTTTTGTTTTGTTCTGTTTTAGTGGAAACCCAGAGTTTCTGTATCAACTGCTGCTAAGAGATCAAGAAGGTTGAGGGCAGAAAATCACCTTTGAATTTGACAAGATGGAGGGCTCAGGTAATCGTTACAAAACTCATTTCTGTAGACTGGTGAGGATGAAAGCCCAACAGAATGATTGAGAATGAGGAGATAAACAACACTTCCCGTTTTGTTGTAAGGAGAAGCAAAAATGGAGCAGTAAGTGGACATGAATCTGTGGACAAGGGATTTTTTTTAAGATGGATAAATTAAAGCGGGATTGCATAATGACAGGAACTGCTCTAGTAAAGAGGGAAAAATTGGTAATAATAGCTTGGGCTAGAGTAATACATCTGAATGTTTTTCAAGATGCAGATTAAGCCCCATTAGTGGACTACAGAATCAATTTAGTGGGTCAGCATTCTTTTTTAACCAAAGAGACAATATCAGAGTGCATATAGTAAAAGTATTGTTTCATGATGCTTTCATTTCAGTTACATATACATATTGTGTTTTTTAAAAATCTGCAAAATAGGGGCGCCTGGGTGGCTCAGTCGTTAAGCGTCTGCCTTCAGCTCAGGTCATGATCCCCGCGTCCTGGGATCGAGCCCCGCATCGGGCTCCCCGCTCCGCGGGAAGCCTGCTTCTCCCTTTCCTACTCCCCCTGCTTGTGTTCCCTCTCTCGCTGTGTCTCTCTGTCAAATAAATAAAATCTTTAAAAAAATAAATAAATAAAAATCTGCAAAATAGGCGCGCCTGGGTGGCTCAGTCGGTTAAGCGTCTGCCTTCAGCTCAGGTCCTGATCCGGGATTGAGCCCCGCATCGGGCCCCGTGCTCGGCAGGAAGCCTGCTTCTCCCTCTTCCACTCCCCCTGCTTGTGTTCTCTCTCTCGCTGTGTCGTCTCTGTCAAATCAATCAATCAATAAAATCTTTTAAAAAAATAAAAATCTGCGAGGGCGCCTGGGTGGCTCAGTTGGTTAAGCGACTGCCTTCGGCTCAGGTCATGGTCCTGGAGTCCCGGGATCGAGTCCCACATTGGGCTCCCTGCTCTGCAGGGAGTCTGCTTCTCCCTCTGACCCTCTTCCCTCTCGTGCTCTCTCTCTCTCTCATTCTCTCTCTCAAATAAATAAATAAAATCTTTTAAAAAAATAAATAAATAAAAATAAAAATCTGCGAAATAGTAGTATATAGGACCATGTATAGACAGGTAAAAGAACACAAAGGAAAATGTATTAAATAACCAACGCCAAAGAGAACACAATATAGTTATGCCTACAAGTTAATGAAAAAAACCCACACGGGGAGTAGTTGCAAAAACTTCCATCTGCACTCGGAATAAGCAAACATCACACACACATATTGTTCCTGTGGTCTCAGTCCTGGCTCAAGCTCTTCCTTCTTCCCAGAAAACCTGACCCTTCCATAGCAACTTCTGAGTGAGGGCTCCCCAAGGCTCTATCCCTAAGCTCTATGCCAGCATTTACCCATCTCTTCTGCAAGTACTTCCAGGGCGGACGCGGGGCTTTACACGCTGGGACACTGGGCCGAACTCCCCACAGTGACCCAAAACACGCTAGGAAATCAATGAGGGAGGGAGCAGGCACACTGAAAGGCCGCCAGGTCAAGTCGCACTGGGTCCCGCGTCCCAGCCACTGGGTGCGAGTAGGGACGAAGGTTCGGAGAGGCAGAGCGAGGGTCCCTTTCCTCTCCGCGTCCGGCCCCAAGGCTTTCCCCCAAGCCCGTACAAGGTGCTGCCGCATGCCCACGTCCCTCGGCTCCCCTCGGCCCAGCAGTCCCCAGCTGAGGGCGTCTGCGCAAGGCCGGGAACCCGCCCCTGACGACTTACACTTCCATGCCGATCCCGCCTCGTCGCCTCCGGCCGCCAGCAAACACCCAGCCTCACGACACGCCGCCACGGCTCCCACCGTCCCCGCTGTGCACCCAGTCGCCAGATCTGCGCGCCGCGGGGTACGTCGGGATCGCCGCGCTGCATGCCGGGATCGCCGCGCTGCACGCCGGGATCCTAGCGGACCCAGCGGGCACCTCTGCGCGTTCGAACTGCGCCGAGCGGTTCCCCCTGCTGGACTGTTAAACTTATGCAGGCAGGACTTAGCTCATGTTTTCTTGGTATGGGTGATATCAGAGTATTAATAAACTAAGTTTCCAGAGAGATAATCGGGTTAGTAGCCCTCTGTGGCGTTAAAATCCCACCCGTCGGAGAAGAGTGATGGCGAGGGGCGAGGCGGCTCTGGGCTGCTGGAAATATTGTCTCATGATTTCGATGTTGGGTGCGCGGTGTGTTCTGTTTCAGAAAATTCAGTGAGTTGTACACGTATGTACACTTCTCTGTAGGTATGTTATAACTAATAAAACGTCTCAAGAAGCGAAAAAAAAAAAAAGAACTCAGGCTCCGTTCTCCCCATTCTTCCTTGAGAGGTATTTGGCAAAAAACAAAAAATACAAAAAGCCAAAGACAAGCACAGACTCTGATCTTCCCGCCTTTCTAGGAATTTATCCAAAGGGAATTATCAGATGCTTGAAGAAAGATGGATGTGTAGTGATTTTTTCCCGGGGAGATGGCCTCAATGTCCATCAGTGAGGAATTAATAAATCATGTTTCAGGCATAGAGTATTTTATATGCAGCCATGAGAAATGATGTCGTATACTTGGTATGTTGGGGAAATGCTCAAGATAGGGTTTTAAAAAAAAAGATAGAAAATGATGTTGGTGTGACTAATATTCTAAAGAGAAATAATACACAGGGAAAAAACACCTAAAGGTACACGGGGTAGAGCCACCTAATCTACTATATTTTATGTCTTAAAAGAACAGATGTGGAAGATTGATGTCCATTATCTTCAAAAATTTTTGGTATGTCTGAAAATGTTTTTTTAAAGATTTTATTTATTTATTTATTTGTTAAGAGAGCACAAGCAGGGGGAGCAGCAGGCAGAGGGAGAGGGAGAAGTGGGCTCCTCGCAGGGAGCCCAACTCCCTCCCAGGACCCAGCTGAAGGCAGACGCTTAACCAACTAAGCCACCCCAGTGCCCCTGAAAATATTTCTTAAAAAATCTAAAGATGATAAGTCAATTTCTAATTTTTTTCTCCTTTTTTATAGTTCTATCAGTTATTATTTGCTAAATCCATTTGCTTTGCAAGGCCCTTGCTAAGTGATTTGTTATTCCATTATATTAACAGTTAATGGTGCAGGCTTTGCTGTCAGGTGCCCTGTGATTCTGTTCACCTACATCACTTTCTTAGAGTGATGACCTTGGGAGATTACTTAACCTCTCCTAACCACAATTCCCCAATATGTGAATCATAGGTCTGTTTGGTAATCTTTATAAAGTACCTCGCACATAGTAAGTGCTCAGCAAATATTAATTACTGTGACAGTACAACTATGACACTCAGGTAGATTCTGTTGTTATTCAAAGTTTACTATTGAGGAAATTGAGGCAGGCCTGGAGAGATTATGATTTACCCAAGGTCAGTCATCTAGGAACTTGTCCAGTAGGGCTTCAAACTCAGGCAATTTGAATAAACATAAGGAGTGCATTAAATTGTTAATAATGACTGATGATTAGTTAGTAAAACATGTGGATAGCAATAAAAAGGAATGGGGAACTGATACAACATGGATGACCCTCAAACACATGCCAAGTGAAAGAAGCCAGACACAAAAGACCACATCCTATATAATTCCATTTCTATGAAATGTCCAAGATAGGCCAGTCTATACAGACAGGGAGTAGATTAGTGGTTGCTTAGGGCTGGGAAAGGGGCAGGGGCAAGGATGGCAGCTAATGGATGCAGAATTTCTTTTGGGGGAAATAAAAATGTCCTAAAATTAGATTGTAATGGTTGCCCATCCCTGGAAATATACCAAAAAATACTGGATTATACACTTTATTTTTTTTAAAGAATTTATTTATTTGACAGAGACACAGCAAGAGAAGGAACACAAGCAGGGGGAGTGGGAGAGAGAGAAGCAGGCTTCCTGCTGAGCAGGGAGCCTGATGCGGGGCTCGATCCCAGGACCCTGGGATCATGACCTGAGCCGAAGGCAGACGCTTAATGACTGAGCCACCCAGGCGCCCCTGGATTATACACTTTAAATGAGCAAATTGTATGGTCTCTGAATTATGTATCAAGGAAGCTGTTAATTTTTCTTTTTTTTACTGGTGTTTGCCTGTGGGGATTACATTAGAAGAGAAATGAGAGAAATTTTTAGCATTTAACTTTGCATATTCAGAATTTTAAAAATGTTTTTCAATGCACATATTGTTTTTAATTACAAAAATATTATTTTAAAAACAACTAATTTGGGGGCGCCTGGGTGGCTCAATAAGTTGAGCATCTGCTTTCTGCTCAGGTCATGATCCCAGGGCCCAGGGAGTGAGTTCCACATCAGTCTCCTTGCTGGGCAGGGAGCCTACTTCTCCCTCTGCCTGCTGCTCCCTCTGCTTGTGCTCTCTCTCTCTCTCTGACAAATAGATAAATAAGTTCTTAAAACACACACACACACACATGAATTTGCGGCGCCTGGGTGTCTTGGTTGAGCGTTGACTCTTGGTTCCGGCTCAGGTCATGATCTCAGGGTCATGAGATGGAGCCCTGCATCAGGCTCTGTGCTCAGCATGGAGTCCACTTGAGATTCTTCCCCCTCCCTCTCCCTCCCTCTCTGCTCCCCCCTACCTCGAGCACACGCGTGTGCAGGCACACAGTTTCTCTCTCTCTTAAATAAACAAATCTTTAAAAAATAACCCCAACAACTAATTTACTTTAAAAAAATCAGCAAATAGATAAAATGCTACCCCAGACCCAGCTGGCCTAATTTTTGTAGAAGGTCCCCATAACTCCTTTTAGGACAGCAGGCCCCACAGATAAGCACTAAAGATGTTCATTGTGCTACTCACTTACCACATATATAGTGATGGCCCATTTGGTGGTGATGATACACATGTGAGTAATATGCACCTCTTGCCCTGGTTAGCTGACAGCCTAGTTGGAGAACCAGCTCTGGACATCAACAACTACAATACACAATGTTTAGACGCAATGAAGCAGAGGAGAGAATGACTAATGAGGTGGAGAGGCGTCCCAAAGCCAGGGGTGTTTGAGCTGGTTGTGGGGAGGAGCACCCAAGGCCAAGGCTTCAGGGATGGGCTTCCACAGAAGAAAAGCTAGTGCCTCTCTGGGGGCCCCATGAAAAAATAGCTAAGCTTCAGGTTCTCCAAAGGAGGCCACCCTAAGAGTTTGGGGCCATATGCACCCTTCTGATGGACCAAAGTAGAAAATGTAGGGGAGACAAGCCATGCAAGGCTTTCATTCTTCTGAAGCAGATAAATCCTAGACAGCACTCAGGCCTGTGCTGAAATGGCTGTTGTCCATTGTCTGAACAGTCCTGGAGCCTTAAGCTGGCAATGAGGATGGACACAGAAGGTTTGCCTATGGTCAAGGCCCTGAAGGAAACACCAGCAAAGTCAAGTAAGGTTGTGATCTCTTTCTTAGCATCCCAGGAGCAGGAATTGTAAACCCTTGGTGACCTCCAGTCATAGGTTGTATTCCTGGACACCCACAGAAATGAGGCTGTCAAGTGTGGTGGTTACAGATATGGGCTATGTGGCCAGACAGACTGGGTTAAATCCAGTACCTACCTTACAGAGTCGGCATGTTTAGAGTGGCACCTGGCAAGTGGCAAGCATGAAAAAAATATGAACTATTATCTTCCCATATATCCAAAGCAAGGAAATAAGATTTTGGATGAAGAAAGCGTTAAGTATATGGTGATGTATGGACGTCATCTAGTTCCCCTCATTGCAGATATACTGTCCATCTTCTTGGAGAAAATCATGAAGCCTCTCATTACCCACCTTACCTCGGAACAGTTGACATGAGTTGAGTTAAAGGCTTCTAGTGAGTAAGAAAATATATTACATGGCAGTGCGGGACTTGGAGGGTGGGGTGGGAATGAGTGGTCAGCCCCATTCAAGGGCATTTTCCTGGAGTCTCTCTCTATGGTGGGCGGAAAGACATCCCCAAAGATGCCCACACCCAAATCCTCCAGAACCTGTAGATACGTTACTACATATGCCCAAAGGGACTTTCCTGCTGTGATTAAGGTTATGGACCTTAAGATGGCAAGATTATCCTGAATCATTTGGATGGGCCCAATCTAATCACATGGGTCCTTCCAAGAGGAGAATCTTTGCCAGATGAGTTAGAGGGAGGTAGAATTATGGAAGAAGAGTCAGACAGATGCACCTGTCCTGGTTTTGAAGATGGAGGAAGGGGCCATGAGCCAAGGAATGTAGGTGGCCTCTAGAAACCAGGAAAGGCAAGGAAAGGATCCTTCACTGAGCCTCCAGAAAGGACTGCAGCCCTGCCACCACCTCAATTTTAGCCTTGTGAGACCCATGTAAGGCTTCTAACCTATAGAATTGTGAGATGGTTGAGGTGTCTGGGTGGCTCAGTCAGTTGAGCATCTGACTCTTGATTTCGGCTCAGATAGTGATCTCAGGGTTCCGGGATCAAGCCCAGCGTCTGACTCCCTGCTCAGCAGCAAGTCTGCTGGTCTCTCTCTCCCGCTGCCCCTCCCCCGCTTGTGCGCACTCTCTCTCTCTCTCTGAAACAATAAATAATCTTTAAAAAAAAGAATTGTGAGATAACAAATTTGTGGGAGTTGTGTGGTAGTTTATTACAGCAGCAATGGGAGATGAATACACTCCCATGCAAATCCTCTCTTCAGTGCGGACTGTCCTCCTGTTTATTCACTGTCCACAGTCACAAAAAGCTGCTTCTCCATTTCTGTCTCTACCTTTTCTGCAGGAGGCTGAGTACCCCTCAAACGACTCCTAGATAGATCCACGTGTCTCACAGTATCGGATGTGTGTGTGCGCATGCGCGAGTGCTCGCGGGAGCACACCCACAGCTCTGGGCACTCCTCCTGTGGCTGCCATTAACCTCGTGGTGGTAATGGTAGCAGGGCAGGGTGCTATTGTTCCCAGGCCCTAAGGCCTGGCCTCCTGCCTCACACCATTGCTGTAGGTGCCTTAGGCTCCTTTAGTTTATTTTCTTTCTCTGCTGCTGGAGTCTGTGGGGCCAGGTGGAGGGACAGTCAGAATGTAAGGCATAGTTCTGTGCCCTTCAACCAAGCAGAAGACTTCACTCTGCACTCTTGGGAGGGAGCTTTTCCCCCCGGAGGCTCCTTGGTCTCGTCCCATCCCCAGCCCAGGCAACCCAAGCCTGACTCCTGGGGCCTCTACCCTGAGCTTACACAGTTCTCTGAAACTTACATAGTTCCCTGAAAAGTACTTAGAACAGTGCCTGGCATTTAGTAAGCACTGCATAAGAGAGCTTATAAACAAATATCCTACATATGTTCTGTCTGCTGTCTAGTGTGATTTGTATAGCATAGGGATTAAGAACACAGATGTTACGGTCAGACTGCTGGCCTTCGTTTGGATCCTGTCTGCCCCACCTACTAACTTTATGACTTAATCTTCTAAGTATCTAATCTTCTAAATTTCCCTGTCTATAAAATGTTGATAATTCTGTTTACCTCCTAAGATTAAATGTGATGATAAACATGCAGTGGTTTTGAAGCATGTCTGCGAATTGTTTGACACTCTTCCTTCACAGGGTGGAGACTAAGTCCCCCCATCTTGAATACAGGCTGGAATTTTCACTCACTAGGTAACGAACAGAAGGCGGTTGAAAGTGACACCACGTGACTTCTGAGGCTGAGGCAAAAAGGCTATGCAGGTCCTATCTGGCTCTCTCTCTCAGGACATGGGTTTTAGAGCCCTGAGTCATCCAGTAAGAAGTGCGGCTACCTTCAAACCACTAGGCTGGAGGCACCACATGGAGAAATCACACATTTACACAGACTGTTGCAGCCCATAGCCATTTGAATTTTCCCAGCTCAGGCATCAGACCTGTGACTGATGAAGCCTTTGAAATCACCCCAGCTCCAGCCAGTGTCTGATTGCAATTCCATGAGAAACCCTTACCCAGAACCTTCTTGCTGAGTGCATTCAACCTCCAGAGTGATCAAAAGTAATAATAATTCTTACAGTTGTTGTTTTACAATTTGGGTTGTTTTGTTACACAGCAATAGGTAACTGATATGCACATAAAGCACCTCGAACATGAAAAGCATGGAGTAAACAGTAGTCCTAATTCTTATTACTTCAAACTAGCATCATTGTGGCCCACTAGGGCTTCATTTATTAATAATGGCAGCTACAATTTCTTGAGTACTTAGTATAAATCAAGCATAGTCTATATGCAATTTCTTCTTCACTCAGTGCTCAGTGCATGAGTATCATTATCCCCTTTTTACTGAACCTCCAAGGGGTTAAGTAATTACCTGAAGCTACACCCAAGGAGTAATGTGGCTAAGATTCAACCCTTGGCTCCTCTGACTCTCAGAGCCTGTCATAAAGCATACTCCAGTGTAGTAACTGCCACTTGAGTCCTTCTAAAGTGCTGCCCATGCCGAGTTCTCTGCCCAGGCTGGGCCACCAACAGCTATCTCCATGAAGAGCTAACAGGACTGGGGCTCTTGCCATCCCCTGTGGTGTTCTTTCAGGTTGGCTTCTGCACACTCGACACCAGGTATGTACGGTCAATCATAATTCAGCAAATGAAGAGTACAGCAACTGACAGGCCCAAGACTCCTTGTCCAACTTTTGTTTTCACCACAAGGACTGGAAAGACAGTTGATTGCCATGTAAGATTTCATGATGTTCCTATTAGCCAGTTGTTAACTTGATCCCTCAGATAATTAATTTCTGATGAATCAACCTTCTGGCATGCTCCCTAGACCAATGTTATTGCTGTCCTGCACATAACATGAGCTTTGTGGCCAGACTAATGGGGTTAAAGTCCCAGCTCAGCCACTTCCTAGCTGGGTATTGTTGGGCAAGTCACTTAATCCCTCCCAGACTCAGTATCCTCATCAGTAGACTGGGACTAATTATAGCATTGACCACAAGGAATGGTTGTGAAGATTTAAGGAGATAATCAATATGTAAGGTGTTTAGCAAGAGCCTAGCACACAGTTAGAACTCAAGGGGTATTAGCTATCATTGTTATTCTGTGTTTATTGCCCTATTTATATATAGAAAACACCTCAGCCTACCTTTAAATTGTTTCTTTAACTTCTTCCCTCAGGCAGGAGCCAGAACTTGGAATTTCCTAGATGATGCTTAGGAGGTGTGATGAGGTAAGAGCCTTGCCCTTTCCTCCTTGTTTCCCCTTCTCCTGAGAGTGCAGTTGTTGTTGTCAATAATAGCAATGACAATACGTGTACTGAGTGCCGATTATGTAGCTGCCAGACCCAGTCTTGAAATTGTATATATATTATTAACTCAGATCTCACAACAAATCATACAGGCGAGATATTTTTACTCATTTATTCATCCTTTTTTTTTCATTTAACAAATAGTTATTGTGTTCCTTCAATGATCTGGGTGCTTGAAATGTATTAAAGAATAAGACAGGGGGCACCTGGGTGGCTCAGTCAGTTAAGCGTCCGCCTTCAGTTCAGGTCATGATCTCAGGATCCTGGGATCAAGCCCCACATCGGACTCCTGCTCAGCGGGGAGTCCGCCTCTCCCTCCTCCCACTCATGCTCTTTCTCTCAAATAAATATATATATATATATATATATATTTAAAAATAAACATAAAAAAATCAAATAGGCATTTGGATGTAGAAGTTTTCCCTCCACTTTACAGTAAGTGACTGAGTTAGGATTTAAACCAAGTCTGACTCCACCACCTTATCTCTTGTGTTAAATATCTGCCACCAGATTTTTGCTTCTGACCAAGATGGACTCAGCTGGACCTGATTTACCATCATGCATGAAACAACCAAAAAAAAAAAATTAAAAAGACAAAGTACATGAAAGAAAGACTTTTCAATGAAGGTTGGTGATTTCTGAAAGACAGAAATAAAAGAAGTGAGCCCTATAAGAATCTAGCTTACTATTTTGAGAAAGTTCTCAGGACATGATACAGGGAGGCAGAACTGAGGCAGAGTCTGGCAGAGTCTGGCAACTCCCTGAGTTGAGAAGACAAAATGGACAGCAAGAGAGACAGGGACTTCTAGGGTTCATAAAACAGAGTAACAGAGAGACGAAAACCATACAGAGAGAGGTCTCTGAAGATCTACAGAGGGTCCTCCTCAAGTATTCAGTGGATCACTGAATCAATGCATGCACGTGAGGAAATGGAGTATGAGGGAAAGAAAGATCAATCCAAAAGGAATAAAGGAAACAGTGCCTGTTTCTACCAATCAGACTGGGAAAACTTATAATTCATTGGGTAGAGTATTGAGGAAAATCTTCCCTCATTAATGGGAAATGATTAGCTCCAGACTGAGCATTGCTACTGACTTGCAAAGCAAATAATGAAAGCAAAACCCAAAAGGATCCAACTATTTCCAAGTAAACTAACTGCATCCCAGAGCAAAACTCAAGAAGATTTATAGGAATACAAAAATATCCAACACCTAACCAGATAAAGATCCAATGTCTAGCATCCAATCAAAGACTGCTAGGCAAATAAAGAAGTGAGAAAATATGACTGATAATGAGGAGATTAAAAAATCAGAGAAGGACATTAAAACAGTTATTATAACTGTGTTCCATATGCTTAGAAAGTTAAGTCAAGGACTTGAATGGACATTTCTCCAAAGATGATATAGAATGGCCAAGAAGCATTTGAAAAGATGTTCAACATCACTAATCATGAGAGCATGCAAATCGAAACCACAATGAAATATTACCTCATACCCCTTAGAATAGCTATTAAAAAAACAGAAAATAATAAATTTAGTGAGGATGTGGAACAGTTGGAATCTTTTTGCACACTTGGTGGAATTGTAAAATGGTACAACTGCTGTGGAAAACAGTATGGAAGTTCCTCAAAAAATTAAAAATAGAACTAACATATGATCCAGCCATCTCACTTCTGGGTATACATCCAAGAACTGAAACATCACACATGAAATCCTAGGGTCTTGAAGAAATATTTGCACACCCATGTTCATAGCATCATCACTTACAATGTATCAGTATAGATGTATTAGTCAGGGTTCTCCAAAAAACAAAACCAATAGGATATATATTTTAGAAGATTTATTATAAGGTGGCACCTGGCTGGCTCTGTCAGTGGAGCATGTGACTCTTGATCTCAAGTTGTGAGTTTGAGCCCCATGTTGGGTGTAGAGATTACTTAAAAATAAAACCTTAAAAAATGATTTATTATAGTAATTGGCTCATGCAGATATGGAGGCTGAAAAGTTCCACAATCTGCCATCTGCAAGCTCGAGACCAGGAAAGCCAGTGATATAATTGGGTCCAAGACCTGGGAACCAGCGGGCTGATGGTGTAAGTCCTGATCTGAGTCTGAGAGCCTGAGAACCAGGAATGCCAAGAGAAGATGGGTGTCTCATCTCAGGCAGAGATAGAGCAAATTCACTCTTGTCCATCTTTTTGTTCTATTTGGGCATTCAACAGACTCCATGGTACCCACCCACACTGGAAATGGCCGTCTGCTTTACTCAGTTCACCAATTCAAATGCAAGTCTTTTCTGAAAACACCCTCATAGACACACCCAGAAATAATGTTTCATCAGCTATCTGGCCATCTCGTAGCTCAGTCAAGTTGACACAGAAAATTAACTATCATAGTGGAATAATATGCAGCCTAAAAAGGAAGGAAATCCTGCCACATTATATGATATAGATGAACCTTGAGGACATTAGGCTAAGTGAAATAAGCCAGTCTCAAAAGTTAAAATAATGGGGGCGCCTGGGTGGTTCAGTCATTAGGTATCTGCCTTCGGCTCAGGTCATGATCCCAGGGTCCTGGGATCGAGCCTGGCATCGGGCTCCCTGCTCGGCGGGAAGCCTGCTTCTCCCTCTCCCACTCCCCCTGCTTGTGTTCCCTCTCTTGCTGTGTCTCTCTCTGTCAAATATATAAATAAAATCTTTTAAAAAAAAGTTAAAATAATGTATGATTCTACTTGTATGAGATACACTAAGTAGTCAAATTCATATATAGAGAATGTAAAATGGTGGTGACCAGGGGCTGGGGGTAGTGGGCAAAGGGGAGTTGTTTAATGGATATAGTTTCTGTTCTGCACGATGAAAAAGTTCTGGAGATCTGTCTCACAACAACGTTAATATACTCAACACTACTGAAGTGTACACTTAAAAAATGGCTAAGATGATAAATTTTATGATACATGTTTTCTAGCACAACAAAAAGTTAATATACAATAGCATTTCTATATGATGTCAACAATAATTTAAATTTTATGAAAATGATAATAAAAAGATTTGAGCTTTTTTTGGCCCCTCTACCATGAGAATAAAGATCATTCTTAACAATCAGACTGTTCGCACTCCAGAAAATGTTGACATTACTCTGGAGGGCTATTTTGAAGGCCATCAGAAGAAACCTGAGGAGGGACTCCAACTACATTAATGTAGAACTCGGTTTCCTTGAAAAGAAAAAGAAGAGGCTCCAAGTTGACAGATGGTGGGGCAATAGAAAGGCACTGGCTACCGTTTACACTATCTTTGGTCATATACAAAACATGGTTAAGAGTGTTACACTGGGCTTCCAGTACAAAATAAAGTCTCTGTGTGTTCACTTCCCCATCAATTAGCAATAATCGCACCTCGGATAAACCTCATTGGCTACAATACTGCCACTGGGCAAAGCTTCTCTTCCCCATCAATGTTGTGATTCAGAAGAATGATTCTATTGTTGAAATCTGAAATTTCTTGGGCAAAAAATATATCTGCTGAGTTCAGATGAGGTCAGGCATTGCCTGTTCAGTATCACAAGCCCAGAAAGATGAGTTAATTCTTGAAGGAAATGACATTGAATTTGTAACAAATTCAAGCGGCTTTGATTCAGCAAGCCACAAGAGTTAAAAATAAGGATATCAGAACATTTTTGGATGGTATCCGTTTCTGAAAACAGAAAAGTTCAGCAGGCTAATGAATAGGATTTAAGCTGTTCAGCTACAGAAACAGCAAGATGCCAGATGATTTTTCAGACTTCTTTGTGATATTTTAAAGATGCACTAACAGCTGTGTGTTAAAAAAGAAAAGGAAAGAAAACTACAGGATTTGAGATTCTGGATTAGATGGATAGCAGATTAGACACTATAGAGAAAAAGATTGGTGAATTAAAGGCATAAAAATAGGTACCATCCAAAATGAAACACAGAAAAAAAAAGAATCAACAAAAATAATAGCATCAATGAGCTGTGGGACACTTTAAGCTTATGTACAGATAATTGGGGTCTCCAAAAAAGAGGAGCAAGAAAGGGATAGAAAGATATTTTAATATTAAGAATTATAAATCCACAGACCTAAGATACTCAACAAGAAAAATGAAGAAAACTGTACCAAGACATATCACAATCAATTTCTCAAAATCAGTGATAAAGAAAAAAATCTTAAAAGCAGCTAGAGGGGGAAAAAAAGACATGTTACATATAGAGGTACAAAGATGAGCCTGACAGATTTGTCATTCGAAACAATGCAAGTGAGAAGACAGTGGAGCAACATCTTTAAAATGCTGGGGAAAAGAGTCACCTTAGACTCCCATATGTGGAAGAAATGTTTCTCAGAACAACAACAGGATGACATGAAGACATTTTCAGGTATACAAAAGCTGAAAGGATTCATCACTGGTGCTATAGAAAAATAAGGAAATGCTTCAGACAAAAGGAAGATGATAGCAGATGGAAATCTGGATCCACACAAAGGAATAAAAAGCACAGGAAATGCTAACTACATAGGCAAGTATGTAAGATTTTTTTTTTCTTACTGCTTTGTCATGGCCATTCTAGGAAACTGATATACATATATCTAACACCACACTTAATGGTAAAAAACTGAATGTTTTCCCCCTAAGATCAGGAACAAGACAAAGATGTCCACTCTCACCACTTCTATTCAAAATTGTACTGGAAGTACTAGTCAGAGCAATTAGGCAAGGAAAAAAAAAAGACAGTCAGATTGGAAAGGAAGAAGCAAAACTATATTAGCAGATGACATGTATGTAGAAAATCATGAAGAGTCCACTAGGAAAGCTGCTGGATAAACAAACTGAACAAGACTGCAAGATACAAGATCAATATATAGAAATCAATCACATTTCTATACATTAACAGTGAACAGTTGGGAAATGAAATCAA